AATTCAATTGGTTTTGAAGGCCTAGGGATTAAAGTAAATATTAAGAGAAAGTTTAAAGGTATTCCAATTACAGCTTATTCTGGTACAGTTATTTATTATATGGCGCCCCCACGTGGATGCTGAAAGATCGGTTAAACAAAAATTTAGTTTGGTCTCATTATGGAGATACTAAATTTTAAGATGGCATAATTTACACAGAAACACTTTTTTTTTTTTTTTATTACTTCATAACAGTTTTAAATCTATTGCACTATGAAATTTATGTGTGCGACCACTACTGCAGATAGAAAGCATAAAAATGTCTTCTGCAATACAGAAGTGTGCATATTAGTTGAGCATTTGACAGGGACTTTATTGGTAAGCACACATCCCATTATATACAGCAAGGAGACCTTCCTACAAAGCTTGGTACCTCAATTTAATCTCAACCCTGAAGTAGCCAATCAAGATCTTCCAATTCACTTGAAAAATACAGACAGGTCTATTCAAACAGGATTGGAAGTAAACTGCAGGAGGCAGTAGCAAACTACTAAGGTCCCTCGCCTTCTTCATCAGACTCCTCCTCCTCCTGCTGACCCTTCTTCTGCAATTACAGAGAAAGGAAATAAATACAAGTGTAAAAATCAGTCAAATTTCTATTTTGATTTTGTTATATTTAAAGGAATGGTTCAGTCAAAAATGAATATTTGCTGAAAATTAACTCTAAGGTGCAGATGAGCTTATTTCTTAATTTAAACGGATTAAGAGAAATTTAGCTCACCAATGGATCCTCTGCAGTGAATGGGTGCCGTCAGAATGAGTCCAAACAGTTGATAAAAACATCACAATCCATATGACTACAGTCCATCAATTAACTTCTTGTGTAGTGAAAAGATGCATGTAAGAATCAAATCCATCATTAAGGCTTTTTAACTTTAAACCATTGTTGATCTGTGCATATTTCCTTCCTGGTTCAGACTAGGTGACTTTTTGTCACTGGAGAAAGCTATATTACAGATAGAGGACTCATGTTAATGATGAATTTGTTTCTTACAAACACACAGCTTTTTGTTTCACACGACATTGACTGATGGACTGAAGTTGTGTGGATTATTGTGATGTTTTTATCAGCTGTTTGAACTCTCATTCTGACGGCACCCATTCACTGCTGAATGAGCAAGTGATGTAATGCTAAATTTCTCTAAATATGTTCCAGTGAAGAAACAAACGCATCTTGGATGGCTGAGGGTGAGTAAATAAGTGAGTGTCTTATGTGCATGAATGTTGCCAGTGTGATAGTTTCCTCTCTTTTTCTATAGAGGTCCTTGTCTCTGTTGTTTTTATCCCCATCTCACTCACCAGCTTAAGAAAATCAATGAGCTTATAGGCATCTTCCCCTGTGGTCAGGTCCAGGAAGTCTCGTGGGATTCTGTAGGACAGACATGGGCTGGGCTGCACTGTGACTTCACTGGTGGTGTAACGGAATGCAGGTCCATCCTAATAAAATACGATACGCATGCCACTAATATAACACCACATTTATCTTTTAAAATACAGGCAGTGCAATACATATGAAAAGGGAACAGCTACCTGCAGTGCTGTGTCTTCTTGCGTTTGATTGGCTGTGAGATTTTTGCCAGATGTTAGCTCCTCCCACGTGAAAAGCAAAGAGCCTGTGACTTCACCAAATGGGTTGAAGTCAATCAACCACACGCGTCCCTTTAGAAAGACAAACTTTTTTATAAGCATGTGCAAATATTTTCATAATTGTTAAAGATTCAACTCAAACCTGCTTACAACAACTGGCTTGCATTGGAGCTACATTTAGTACCATCCATTGCTATGCAGTAAATGACACATCTAAATGTGAAATTTGCATTCATAAAAGCTTACTGAGCTGTCTCTGTAAACGTCCAGGACGACTAAAAGAAATCAAGAAAGAACACTGTTAACGCACATATGTAACTTTTTAAAAACAAGACAAATATTTTCTGCCTCTCCACACTGATATACTTACAGTCCTCGTCTGGGAACTGGTATTGAATGTGATCTCTAAAGAATTCCAATATCGCGGAGGAGATGCTGTCCTCTTGTTTGGCGATGTGCTGGTAATGTTGTGTGTAATCTCTCTGACTAATTGCTAAAAAACAAACTTGATCTCAGTATGTAGATTATCACATGCACATGAGGTCAGAGAGGTGCTAGGATAATGTTGTCAGACATTCTGTTTGAAATGTTCTACTTATTTCCATTGCATTACATACATTATACAATTAATTCACTTAAAAGCATTATATTTAAAACAGAATACACACATCAAGTTAACAAATGCACAATTTTCATACCGATTACTTTGTTCTCTTTCACAAAGCAGCGGAATTCCGCTCCTGGAATGAGCTCGCTCCATTTTCTCAACACCAACTGCAAAAAATGAGTCCCACAGAGTAACAACATATTATTTATTTGGGAGATATTTAAGGGTTATTCATTGGGTTTCATTATGACATAATACATTAAATAATATAATATACATTTATATACACATCTTTATAAAGTTGTTGTTTTTTAACATTTTTTTGAAAAGTCTCCTATGCTCTTTTGCATTTATTTGAAAAATACAATAAAAAATGTAATCTTGTGTAATATTATTACAGTTTCAAATAACTGTTTTCTATTTATATATGTTTTAAAATGTAATTTATTCCTGTGATGCAAAGCTGAATTTTCAGCATCACTACTTCAGTCTTCTACGTCTTCAGTGTCACATGATCCTTCAGAAATCATTCTAATATGCTGATTTGCTGCTCAAGAAACACTTCTCATTATCAATGTTGAAAACAGTTGTGCTGTTTAATATTTTTTTGGAAATTGTAATACATTTTTTCAGGAATCTTTGATGAACTGAAAGTTCAAAAGAACAGCATTTATTTGGTAATATAATATTATTAATATAACAATATAATTTAAGTTTGAGTTTGCACGAGTATGTTTGGCTGTTTTATTGTGATTCTGTACCTCATAGTTTATGGTTGGGTCTGGAGAATCATCACTACAATGGAGGAATCTGACAAAAGAGTACAAAATGATTACTTCAAGCAACTGCTTTCTTGAATTTCTTGAGAAGAAACCCCAATCACATGGAGCATGATGGGAACTGAGAATATCAGCATTTATGAACCTGTGAGCGGTCAGAGATCTGTGCGAGACACTTACGGCTGTGTGAGGTCATGCGTGATGAAATCTGAACTTTTGAAAAGGAGGAAGATGTCGCATAGACTCTGACACTGTAAGGAACTGTTCAGGGCAATCCAGTTAGCGTCCTGAGAGGAAGATCGAAAGATGAAGGATATTGTGAGTAGTATGTATTCATGTGTATGAAATGCGATTGTAAGTAAAGTCTTCTCACCCGAGGGGCGCTCCAGTTCAGCTTTGGGAAGACACACCCACCTAGAACATTTATTGCCTCTTGCACCCTTATCTTGAACTCTGGGAATTCTGGAGCCTGAAAAAGACTCACACAGTTTAGTACCTGCACAAGTGTATGAGGTGACAGCTTTGGTTGGCTGCGAGGAATCAGACGCACTGTAACTGCTGTTGTAGTTTCATCATCAGTCCACTGGAAACCAAAAGCATGACATCAGGAAACTGGCTGGTTGTTTAAGAGATAACTAAACGTATTTCACACAACCACACACATACCTGAATGTCCTCCTCATCCGAGTCACTGTTATTGGTCTGTGTTTGTGAACTGTTGTTCTCACTACAAAGAGAGACAATCAGATATTGATTATTTATTTAATAACCAGGCAACACAATAGTCAAGTCAAGTCGCATTTATTTATATAGTGCTTTATACAATTCAGATTGTGTCAAAGCAGCTTTACAGTATTAAACAGGAAAATAATGTGCCATAATGCAGGAGGATGTTAGTAAACACTCAGTTTTAAAGTCAGTTCATCATTGATTCAGTGATGTTATCGTCCAGCTCAGTTCAGTAAGTGAACAGTAAGAGTTGTTATAATTTATTCAATACCAAACTTTTGCCCAAATCTCACCTGCCAGAAACCACAAGTGTCCCGTCATCTAATAAATAATCAATTACATTTTGAGGTATAGGTAGAACCAAGCTGGGAAAAAAAGAAAATAACCAAACTTAATTACAACAGCACTGACATAACTATATTAACAGCACAGATAACTATATAAACTCAAAATCAAAGATTTTAAGCGTATAGTACATAATTGTCCTATATCTTCCTATATATAATGTACTATAACAAAGCTTAAAATCATTTGAGTTTATATATATATATATATATATATATATATATATAACGTTACAGTGATGGAATCACATTATAATGCAACTGCTAACGCACGGTTTTGTGGACTTTCTGAGTTTCCCCGATCTTTATATATTATCAGTCTGCGCAAATAACTCTCTTACCTCTTAATAGTGTGTTTCTTGAATAAAGGATACCAAACAGAAAACTGACAGTTTACAACCTGCTCTTTCTTCATGCTGCCAGAAACTTACACTGGTAATCTGCGCAACCTCGAAAACATTCCGCCATAACGATAGTATCAATAACTACAGTTCCGACTCATAGCCCTTCTTTGTTTTGAAATGAATCTGTAGTTCCATACTTCAAGTGGAGTTTTGTGTTCAATTATATTAGTTCTTCTTGAATATTAGAGACCAGGTTGACAATATAACGTTTACAATGATAACTCGATCCACTGTACAAGAGGAGGAACGGTTTTAGCCGCACACAAGTAGGCAGATACTTACTGAGCATGTGACAACTTGGAAGAAAACTAACTAAACTGGATGGATCACTACGATTTATTTGACATACTTTAGGATTTGTCTGGTACGTATTCCACTAATTGAAACTACTTAGAATGATCTCCCGTTACTTTGTTTATGTATTAACTAGACTAGCTGAAATAGACTGTGGTCATCATGACAGCATCAGGCGCCCTGTACGTTAATTACTTCATTTCTGTTATACGTGCAGAATTACTGTAGCTGTTCCAGTGCTTAAACATCCCTGATCGCCTGCACAACATGAGCTCTCCTAAGAAAGCGACTACTGAACCTCATGTCATCAAAGAGGAAGTAAGAATCTGTCTTAAAGTGATAGTTCACCCTTAAATGAAAAACTCACCCTCATGTTGTTCGAAACCTGGATGAGTTTTTTTTATAGTGCATTTTTCCATGAAGTGAATGATGTAATTTTTGCCCAGCAGTACTTGTTTTTCACAGGAAAAATAAAATCGTATGGAAAAGGAACAATATGAAGGTTCATATTTGTGTGAACTATCCCTTTAAAATAATGTAATTCTTAAGTGTTGTGCTTAAAGTACTCTGTACACATATGAATAATGTGTTCTTGTTAGCTGATAGCGAGTGGAAAATGGGTGAAGCTTGAGAAGACCACATATGTGGATCCCTCTGGAAGCACCAGGTATTGATCTGTGATTGTGTGTGAATGATGTGAGACCTTTGACCTCTGGACTGAGTGGACATGATGATACTCGCACTGATTAGAATGATCTTGTTTATTGTTGCTTTCCATTAATCAACCTAAAACATTTGTTCTCTTTCATTTTCACATGAATAGATAGATTGGTAGGTGCTTGTATGCACAATATGATCTTAATGCATATTTTTGTCTCCTCAGAACAGATATTATTCAGAAAATATACTAAAAGACATTTTTTTTAAAAGTCTCTCCTGGAAGAACTTTAGATTTTTTAGAACTGATTAAACTGAAAGATTGTACTATATGATTTTTATCAGTACTATAGTTGTTTCTTGTAGGTTTTTGTATAACAATTGTTTCTTAAGAAAATGTTATACTATTGTAAATGATGTATTGAAATGACATTGTTAATGTTGCCGTGAATATTGCCATTGTTGCTGATACGGCGTTAAAACATAAATAAATTGTCTCCTCAGAACATGGGAAACAGCAAAGAGAACAACCCGAGTCGCAGACAGCGCTGCCGATGGTGTGTGTGCAGTCTCATGCCTGCTTATTTGAACCAGTGTGTATGCTTTAATGCTCTATATTTATTAATATGTTTAAATTCATCTTAAGGTGTAGCAATCATAGCCCTTCTGAAGAGGACTCTGCATAAAGACTGTGTCGTAATGGTGAAGCAGTTTCGTCCGCCCATGGGATGCAACACACTGGAGTTTCCTGCAGGTCTGATTAGCCAAAAAAAAGACCTAATATTACCTAATTTGATGATGCTGAGTTCAATAAAAACATTCCAGTTTTTCACAAAATAAGAATTAAGATTTTTCAAATGATAAATATATATCAGCTTTAAAGCACTTATCAAAATAACAGAAGCAGTCAAATGTCTAAAGTTTGAATGACAAAAAGAAGGATTAAAAATGTATAATTTAACCGTTCAAAAAAGTGGAAATCAGGATAAGGCATAAAATAATGTCTTCAGAATCATTCATACATTTGGAAATTGGCTGAGAATTGAAGTAATAATTCTAACCAGGCTCAGAGGAAGAAAGGAACCAGTTTTTTTTTTTCTTTTCTTTTTTTTCAGTTTTCAGGTGATGGAGGGATAATATAAGACTTATTCACTTTACAAATAGTTGTCGAAAACAAAAATACTGCAAAATCTCATTATATTTTGTGAAAAAGTGTGATGTGCTTGAGCAAAACAGACAAAATTTTTTGGAATCAGCGCCTCAGAATTGGTAAGAAACAAGCATCGGATTCATTCAGAAAATATGATGTAAATATGCAAATATGACAGAGTAGTTATTGACTATTCTCTGTGCATGAATATTTCAGGTCTGATAGATGACAATGAGAGTGTTGAAACTGCTGCTTTGAGAGAACTAAAGGAGGAAACGGGTTACAAAGGAGAAGTAGTGGGCATCACCCCAGGTGTGTGTGTATGTGTGTGTGTAGACCTGACAAAATGTATATAACCTTGCATATTTGAATGTCTCATCCTCATGTCTTTTAGTCACGTGTTTAGACCCGGGCTTGTCTAACTGCACCACACAGATGGTGATGGTACATATCAATGGAGATGACATTGAAAATATAAACCCCACTCAGCAGCTGGGTGAGTGAAGGAGCATCAGGAAGCTTTTTTACTAATATTTCATCACAGAACCATGTTATTAATGCTGACCAAATAGCGTTCTTTTGTCTCCATTGTGCTGTCTAGGTGATGGAGGTACGTATTTGTTTTCTAATAAAAATGTCAACATTATTGATTTGTGTTTTTTGTTCTGAAAGCATATCATTGCTTGTCTCTCAGAATTTGTGGAGGTTATTCTTCTACCGCTTGATGAATTTCAGCAAAAAATTGATGGTGAGTGATCTTGCTAATGAGAAATACATAAATCTTTAGTTTTTAATGATATCTGTTGGATATAAATAACTGTATTGCTAAAGAAAAGTGCGTGAATAAATGGCCTGTTTATTCATTATGATTTTCAGTTTGTTAGGTTTTGCTTTGGTGTACTAAACCTGAATTGTTCTTTTTTTGTTATTTTTATAGAGCTGCTGCAGAAAGAGAAAATAGTGGTGGACTCCAAGGTGTATATTTATGCCATGGGAATGTCCCAGGCCTTCTTTAAACCCAGAGAGTTGCCTGTGCTGAAGCAGTGAGATGCACAAATCTCTCACCTGGAGTACACTAAAGACAGACAAAGTTTGTGTGCTGTCACACACTGTGTATGGAAGCCTGTTTACGCAATGGGATAAAAAAATAATAAAAAATAATAAAAAAGGGAAATTGCGACTTTTTATCCCACAATTTCTTCAGAAAAAAAATAATAATTGCGAGACTAGTGAGTTCTAGTGAGATATAAACTCCAAATTCTGACTTTTTTTCTAATTTTTCTCTGAATTTTTTGTTTACATCTCATTATTCTGTTTTTTGTTTGTTTCCGTCATGGAATATAAAAAAAGGAATTGCAAGTTTATATCTCACAAAAAAGTCAGAATTGTGATATATAACCTCATTGTGAGATTAACTAGTCACCGTTTTTATTATTATTTTTGTTTTATTCCATGGCAGAAACGGGCTCCAGAAACATAGCTGTGATGAAATCAACCAATACTTGACCATGACCTTAGTGTTTTGCCACGGTTGCCTGAACATTCCTATAAACTAACAGTTATAACAACTTACTTGATTAACAGGTATTCAGCGTTTGCACTGTTTTAGAATTTAATCATATGAATATATAGGATTTGACCAAATGCAACAAAGTATTGGAAACAGAAAATGTAGCCTTTTTTGCTCTTCTCTGTGAATGTTTTGCGTGTGTCCTGTCTGCTGTTGACCTTTAATAATAAATTATATTTATAGGTCAAAGTGTCACAGAAAGACTTCTCATTAGGAAAGGCACTTTGTATTTTGATCAGATCTTGGCATAAATCTAGTAAAACTGATGTACTGTAGCTTTGTTTTCACATAAGATCAGTAGCAGATTATTATACATTGTGTATCCAGTTGTCCAAAGGCCTGCAATGTGCAGGTAATTCTAAAACATTATAGTGCGTGCTGGAAGATGCATATTCAATGCTGTTTACCTAAATGACTCTTTTTGTCTAATAAATTTGACAGTTTAAATTTTGCATGTGTGTGTGGTTTTGTCTCTAAATGGATCATTCTTGTAATTCTTCCTATAGATGTGCTCACATTTACTTAGAGTGTAATCCAAATGAATTAACAAACCCAACTTTGATTTCTTTCTGGGGTTTATTGGTCGTTTGCACATCTTACCAAACTTGGCACAGAAAGTTTGTATGTTTATACTTACATAACTATAAAGAATTAAGAAATCCATACAGTATATTATTGTAAATTATGAATTGATTAGAAAAATGTAATGCATTTATAATTTGTATTTTGTCGAATTTATACAAATTATTATGCTATTATAATGATTCATTATTTTAAAGTCGAATTATACTTGTCTTAAGCAAAATCGAAATTTAAACGAAAGTAACCCTTTACCAACAAATAAGCTTTTTTTTCCCGGCTGGAACACATTAAGCATGTTTTAAAAAGTTATTAGAGCCGAAAATGTAAATATAGCCACGTGAGGCTACATTAAACATTTAGTTGTTGTTGTTTATTTATTTATTTTTTACAAAAAAAAATGATTTTTTTACAGCTGTGATACTTTTGCTATACAAATTAATTAGTTTTTTATATTGTGGTTATTATTTATTTTGTTGTGGACAGGCACGAAGTTCTAACGGAAAAGTGACGTAGTTCCGGGGTCTTGAATATGAAACATTTTTCGCGCCAACATTGAAACAACAGCTGGTGCGTTTGATCCAGCACAGCAATATTTAATCGCTTTCATTTGAAAACAAAGCGAAGAAAAGCTATCCAGATCAACATGACAGGTAAGCTCAGCAGCGTGTTATTACAAATGCTAGGCTAGTTTATCACTCTGTTGAAATAAACGATAGTTAAGTTAGGTGAGAAACGGAAGTTGCTGCAGTTCCTGGTAGAGCAAGACGTTTAAATCTCTGTTTTCTAGCAAAATATATTTGTCTGCTTTTGCCGTATCACTAAATACAACATAATGTATATAAGTTTAATATATTCCCAAATTTGTATAGTCTATAGTATGTTCCTGTACTTTATCTGATCATATATTTAATATGCAGTGCATGTGTATTTTAAGCATAGTCCACATGACAGTCAACATTATACTGTTTATTGTATCTATATATATTTATATGGTATATTATATATATGATCCTTACAATCCTTACTGTTTGCTAAATGTGAAGTATACTATATTATACAATTTTATACGTATATATAAACATATAATGTTATGCTATGTAAATATTACTGTATGTCATTCGATTAAATGAATATGCGTTCATGTGTCTGACATCAGAGGAGGAGAATCTGGACATGTTGCTGTCTTTATTTGCGGAGAGTGAGAGCCAGGAACAGGTGACCCCCGCCGCTGGAGAGGGCAGTGATAATCTGGACGACCTCTTCGATGAGGATGATGACGGTGATCCCTATATTGAGCCGGAGGAGGAAGGGGAACACGACGTGGCACCTGGGAACTCCAGCTCAGCTGAAGGGGACAGTGACTTGAATAAGGAAGATCTGGAGTGTAGAGCTCTGTAGTTATTCTAGGCATGATTATTTATGTGCAGGTTATGCACGTATTGTGTGCTGATCATAAGTGTATTTGTCTTCCAGCTGAGCTGAAATTAATGCAACAGAAGATGCAAAAACTACAGCAGCAGCTGGAAGCCTCACAGAAAACCACACAGCCTGAAAACAAACCCTCCGTCCAGAGACAGACAAGCACTAAGTCCTTAACAACACCTCAGGGGGTTTCGAAAACACCCCAACCAACAGCACGGGACAGCGATGGCTCTCCTCCATCAGATGTCACAGCAAAGCTGAAAAACAAGCAGAGGACGGCCCACCAACACAAAGCGGGTGAATGTTGCAGTGATCCTTTTTGCTTTCAAAAATGGAACTGTTTGAAATGTATGAAAATCATATGAATTTTATTTTTTGTAAACAAGCCACCTCAGAAAGGCAGACGACTTCTGGCCAGAGTGTGATCAACTGCCCATCTCAGCCAGTAAGAGACGCTGCAAAAGTAAACCGCACGTTGAAGTCACCGCTGTCTCTCAAGACTCCTCCCACTGTGAGTCAGGCCACGCCTCGTCCGTCGGTCAGTCAAGAGGTTGCCGTGGAGAAGTTCTCAGGTCTCAGACTCAGGTCAGTGTACTGTAAAGTGGGCTTTTTGAAATGATTAATATTGCTTTAATTGATTTTATTATATGGAAAACAAATAATTAAAGTTGTTAATTTGAGGATTAAACAGTCAATTATTGTAATATGCTGATTTGGTGCTGAAGAAATATTTTTCATTATTACCAATATTGAAAACCGTTTTTGCTTCTTAATACTTTTGTTGGAACAGTCATAAGCTACCATTCTAAAGTTTGCTGTAAGTAAGATTTTTAAAAAAATCAAATAAAATCGAAATGACAACTTTACTTTTTGAAGATGCATTAAATTGATCAAAAGTGACAGCAAAGATATTTATAATGTTACAAAACATTTCTATTTTAAATAAAAGCTGTTCTTTTGAACTCTCTGTTTATCAAAGTATTCTGAAAACTATCACGGTTTCCACAAAAATAATTTTTCAACGTTAATTACAAGTGCTGTACTAAATCTTAAGCACCAATAATGATGGATAATAATTTAGCAGCATATCAGCATATTAGAATGATTTCTAAAGGATCACGTGACACTGAAGACTGGAGTAATGATGCTGAAAATTCAGCTTTGGCAAAAAATATTAAAATAGAAAACAATTATTTTAAATTGTAATTAAGTTGCACAATATTACTGTTTTTACTGTGTTTTTCACCAAATAAATGCAGGCTTGGTTAGCATAAGAGACTACTTAAAAAAAAAATTTAAATAATCACAATTATTTCAGACTTTTGACCAGTAGTGTAAATATGTATTTGAGATTTTCTTACTATTGAAAAACACATGTTATATTTCCCTGTAGGAAACCACGCCTATCTTCCATAGACATTGAGCAAAAAATGGCCAACCGCAGACTGATCAAGCTCTCTCAGTTGCCCGATCGACTGGCCAGGGACAATTTAGAGGACAGCGACTGGGTCACTTTCGCAGTGGTGATAAATAAAATCACCCCACAGAGCAAAAACAATGTAAGTGATCATCATTTGTGAGTTCTCATATCCTGTATATGGATTATATGTTGTATATTTAATTACTCGCATGTATTTTTTATTTTTTTGTAGGGGAAAACCTTCAGCATCTGGAAGCTGAATGATCTTCATAATTTGGAAGTGATTGTGTCTCTCTTCCTGTTCGGGTCTGTTCACACAGATCTGTGGAAGACTGACACTGGGACAGTGATTGGCATCCTCAATCCCAACCCAATGAAGAACAAGGATGGTTCCAGTGAGGTTTGTGTATAAACCTCTCAATATTTTATATTTTAGAACAATACAAATTCTAAATTTTGACTATTTGTATCCATAATTTAATAAAACCAAAATAATATTAACCAATAGTGAACTCATGTTTCCATCCAATCAAATCCTGATGAAAGTCAAGTCCCACCCTTGATTATTACCTGCTGAATATTGTTTCACTCAAAAATGTCACATTATGCAAGTAAAATGTGAACGGAATTTAATGTTATTTTTAAAATCAACAGCAGTTTTTCTTCAGTTGTTCTGCAAAATGTAACTTCGTTTTTTTCTGCCTCTTGTCTTTCCATTTCGGCTAATGTCATCAAGACTTATTTGACTTTGAATTTATAACGAACTGTCATATAGAGACCTTGATTTATAATCTAAATAATTATTACTGTAATATAAATCAAGAGTGATAAACTAAACCCTGGCCTACCAGTGTTATTGTGAATTATTTATTTATTTATTTTATTTTTGGATAATTTAAATAAAGTTTAAGAAATTTATTTATTTTCAAAATAAATTAAAGTTGACATTTTAAAAAATACTAATACTTAAAAGAAATAAATTAAAATGAAGGTTTTTGTAAATTAATTAAAGGTGCCATAGAATGCATTGATACAATATTTTAAATTGTTCTCTGATATCTACATAAAAGGTATGTGGCTTAGGTAAGGGCAAAAAATCTCCAGAAACGGTTTTACATGTCCATTTACAACCCTAGGATTTGTCCCT